GGGTCGGGGGGGCTCGCCCCCGTCTGGGCCCTGTGCCTGCCACTCTGGGTGCAGGGCACCCGCTGTCAGACCCAGGTCCAGCTCCCTGATCACACTGAAAGGCCCTCTGTCCAAGGAAGACCCCGTTCTGAGGTTCCTGGTGTGTTTGGGGGGCCCTGTGTTACCAGTACAGCCGCCACGCCTGCGGTTCCATTCCCGCCAGCCCCGCTTGTGGCCTGGCTGGACACCTGCACCCTGCCTGGGGGACCCTGTGCTGTGGCTTCAAGAGACCTTGCTGGTGGCTCTGCTGTGAGGAGGCAGCAGCCCCTCCGAGACTCCAGTGTCTGGATCTCGCCTAGTCCCGGGGTCTGGGAGGGTTGAGGGCGCTGTCTCACCAACCCCGGGCCTTCACCTCGAGGGCGCCCTTCAGCTCTCCAGGCCCTAGGGGCCTGTGTGGCCACCAAGTGCAGTCAGCACCCATTCTGTGAAGGAGACGGGGGCCGAGAAGCCCGGCCCCGAGAACGAGACCAGCTGGGAGTGCTCTAGGGTGCTGTCTGGGTCTGGAGACCAGGCGAGCCGTGACCAGGGGCAGGGGCCCAGGGAGGGTCACAGTCCGTCTGCAGTGACCCACAGGTAGGAGACATGCACCTGGCCAGGTTGGTCCTGACAGGCTGGCCCTGCGTAGGGACCTCTGTTCCAGACTGGTCCCGGGCTTGCTCTGCCTCAGCCAGCTCCCCTCCTGCCCAGTAGGGTCCAGCTGCCAGCCCTACCTCCTGCAGCCCTGGGAGTCTTTCTCTGACCTGGCCGGGAGGCGCCAAGTGGCTGCCGGGCTGGAGCTGAGCCCCTCTGCTGCTTGAGGTGGGGTGGACAGGGCCTACCCAGGGAGGCCGGGCTCTGACTGGACAGCACTGGGCTGGGCCTGGGCACCCTGCCTTGCTTGGCTCCACAGGGGTGGGGACAGCAGGGTCCAGGAGCTGGGGCAGAAGACCCAGGAGGCAGTTGACCAGCCAGGGACGTGTACCATGCCCAAGCGTGGACGCAGGTGCTTTGGCTCGCCTGACCGCTAGCCCGCAGGGAGGCCCGTGTGACCAGGGGCACAGTCTGGGAGACACAAGGCCAGTGACCGCTCACCCTGGCCCCAGCGAAGGGCCCTGCCAGTGTGCTGAAGCTAACGACCCGGAGGTGGCAGCCCTGGGGACCGGCCGAGGGACGCGGCCCCGCGAGGCACCGGGAAGCAGGGGCGGGTTTTCCTCTGGGTCCTTCAGCCCAATGTGAACCCTCCGGAGCCCCGGGTGCTCTGCGTGTGCTGTGCGTGCACGTGCACACGTGGTGCCGTTTCTCCCAGACGGCGTCTTGTTCTGCTGCCCCTGCTGGCTGTGAGCTCGTGGGCCAGAGGGGACTCCACAGGTGCCCCAACCACGCCTGCTCTTAGCGCAGGCCTTCCACGAGCCTCAGCCGTGGTGGGGCAGCATCCTGCCCGCTGGCACCCCTGGACTGGGCTGTGAGAGGCTGCTGGGCCGTGCTGGTTGGTTTCAGCACCATAGGACACTCCCGCCTGGAGCCGGGGCAGGGGTGGGTTGGGTGGACCTGTAGGGCCTTGAGGCCAGCTGCAGGGAGCCGTGATGCCCCAGCTGGTCTTTCTGCCGCCAGGAGGGATGCCTCCATGTGAGGCGACCTGGCTCATGTGGTGGAAGGCCCTGCTGCTCCCAGGGCCCTGTTGTTGTTTTTATTTATTCATTATTTTTAAAAATTCTAAAATTTGCCATAGAGCAGGGGCCAGCAGTTAGCATAATGGCTATGTCGCTGGACTCCCACGTAGTCGACCATGGTTCGCGTCCCGGACCCGGTGGCTTAGAACTCACGCAGGGCACGTGTGTGTGTGTGCCCAAGATCCCGAGAGGAGAATGAGGAGAAACGGATTGCGGCGTGGCCATCCCCCCTGGGGGGTGATTTCTTGCTTTCTGTCTCTACGTCTCTCTCTGTCTGGCGAGCGCACGCGC